TGAAAACAGCTCAAAGTAATCGTCTCAACTTCAGGCTACACTTTAACTCTATGATCTGAGTGAAAAGACTATTACAACATAACAACAGTCAACACGTACCGTATAGACTGTAATAATTTGCGAATAAAAATAATGCCGCACTTTGCATCACGGGGGCAGCTGCGAGTGTCAACTATTACTAGTTGTAAGAATGGAGTAAAGCACTGTTATGTTTGCTTGACATTTCGTCATGTGAGATTTTCGGGTTGAGCCTTTAACGTCACTTCCTCTGAGTCTTGCCATCAACTTCCAGAACATGGTCAAATAATGGCGGACGCGAAATCGCGAAAAAAGATATTTCAAGACTGAAATTTGGCAGAGTGGGTGAAGGAGACACATTGAACACGAAAATGAAAAAAAATGATGTATGAGAATTTTGATCCCAGGGGCACTTTAAGCGTTGACGACTTACACCGGTGGACTCTACCCGTTCTCTAGTAAAGTCGATGTCTTTTACCCCCCATCGTAGACACTTGCGGACTATTTTCTGAGTATCTTGCAAATTGACTTCCGGTATGCGTTTTCTAGTCATAAGAGATGGTTTATCAGACCTCCGGTAACACGACATCACTTAACCGCGAATCGACTTCCGGTAGAGGGATTCGTCAACTGCCTCTGACGATTCGCAACGGCTTGAGTGTATTGGACAACCCTCGCAAACGGAGGCACCAGGAGTCTAATCGTGAACTTTTATTCACTCTCGGAGTCTCTTGTCTCTCTTATTCAGCATTTTAAAATACATGCTCTTAAATATTTTGATAAGTAGTTTTTTAGAGAAGCTTTTCAAGATAAAAATTGTCTCCTTTGCAATTTTATCACTTCTATTTTACGCCTAGTGTTTACATATTTCCATGTTTTATCGCCTTTATCATTCCCACGTCTTGAATTTAGTACATATATGTAAAAATTTTCCTTTTCATCAGCTTGAAAATGACCTCATCGAGGTCGAAACGTCGTTAAAAATTATTATCACTAATTTTTATCTTGAAAAGCTCTTAAATATCTTGTCGGTAGACATGTTTGGCCTTAATTACGGCACAACTGACCTTGGCAGAGTAAACATTTTTTATAAACGCGAACCCAAACACGACAAACTGTAGCTCACAAGACTCGCACAAGGATTTTAAGATAATCCAACAGGCCTAAACAAATTCCCAACCACTTGACCAGAACATTCCTAATTTTAGTATTTCCTAATCACTCCTAATTTTAGTAGCTCATAAGACTTCATAATTTTGATACCTTTCATTGGGCGTTATCAATCCAAAGGATAAAGCTGATTTACCCTCCAAATAGTCCACTTCTACACGCAGTTTAGATGACCAACAAAGAGAACTTTTGGTGATAATTTCGCCATACGGAGGCCAGCAATCTCCTTCTATCCCAACTGTGGGGGAATCGTCAGAAACGATATTTGAACCGCGGATTAGCTTCAGTGTTCCACAGGATGAGTTTTCAGAGACTGCTTTCGGATAAATATGAAAAAAAAATGTAGTTTCCATATGTAAGAAAAAGTTCAATCCCTTTTGGCAAACAAGGAATACTTTCCTTTTTCATTTTTTTAAGCGTAGTTTTACGAAACCAAAGCTTTGTTATCGCGCATGTCGCATATGACAGTTCGAAAAGAGTGAAGCAAATTTATCTTCTCCAAAAACTTACAGCAACCTTTGAAAATCAGTGACGAGTGTTCTAATGCCCGCGTACAAAGCGTGACTAAAAAAAAGCTGTATGAATTAAGCATAAAAGCAATGTACAAACAGCCACGCCAAGTATAATATTGCGCTTACCATCACGTTCCATAATAATTCGTAAAAAAGACGCAAGTTGATGACCAAGGCAGATTATTTGATTTGTATGCCGAGATGACAATCAAGTGTGATGGTAAACAAATGCTGAAAGTGAAAGAGGAACATTTTTACGGTCGACATACTTTACGACTAACAGTTAGAATTTGCTAATTTTAACGTTAAACGGATAGCATTTATTCGCGAAATACCGAATCACCCGCAAAAAGTTGGGAACCTCATAGCTTCCGGTGTTGTGGATCTCCAATATAAGGCCCTGTTTACAAGCAAGGAGGGTAACCCTTGTGCTAGGGTTACCCTAGCAGGCGAGTCAAAGATAGCCCGGGTTTATAAGCAAAATTTCACAGGTAGGGTTACCCTACCACCCAGGACAACTTACCTATGCTTGGTAACCGCACGCATTGTTATAAATGTTCAAAGGGTCTGGAAACAAGTAAAAAGTTGTCCCGAGTATGCGAGTTATCCCCAGCAGAGCGTTTACAAGGCAGCTAGGGTAGCCCTAGCGCTCAGGTAGGGTTACCCTAGTGCTAGGGTAACCCTAGCTGCCTTGTAAACACGTCGATGAAAAAAAGAAGAAATGTGGGAGCGTTAGGGTAACCCTCCTGCCAGGGTAACCCTAGCACTAGGGTTACCCTACCTGCTTGTAAACAGGGCCT